AACTCACATTCGTTAGACATTTTTTGGGGGTGGCTTGGTAAAAGGAATGGTGGGACATGTGAAGGGTCAGAAAAATGACTATGTGGACCAGGGGAAGGATTTAGAGTCAGTTGTGAATAAAAAAGTGGTTGCGCAAAAAATAGATCCAAGTGAAACTAGTATAGTCATCAATGAAAAGAACAAAATATTTATAGCTCAACCTAGAAGTTATGAGAGACGACCAAACATCACTATGTTAACTTGAAAGGTATAGTAGAGTGTTCAACAACAGAAGAAAATGACAAAGTATGACTCTTACGAAAGCAACATGTAATACAAGACTTATCAACATCAACAAAAGTAGTAGCTTTAGAAGATAGGCAATTAGTAGAAATAAAAGCTCAAGTTTTTTAGGATAACGGTAGCTAAGACGTCTAGGATGCCACTCATTACTTTTACAAGCAATATTAGAACTAGAAGTAGTAGAAAGCAAACAAGGTGAGGTGAGATGGTGTCTTTGTCTTCCTAACATCTAGAGCAAAGAGCCGACCCAACCTACACCCCTTCCCCTTTATTGTCCTAGTGTGCTGGTCCTGATTAAACAACCATCGGAGGAAAAAGAAACAATGTTACCATCATCAACCAACTGACCAATAGATAAATTAGTAGTAAGTTTTGAGATAAATAAGGCTTTAGGAAGATGAAAACGAGAATTAATAGGGGTAGGCAAGTCAAAATCATCACATCAAATGATTTTTAAGTTTTTCACCATTAGCTATAACAATGTGTTTAGTAAAAGATGAAGACTTGAGAGACTGACCAGAATATGCCCCTTTCATATGATTAAAGGCACTAGAATCAATTACCAAAGATGGCAGTGGATACCAATTGCCGCATTTTTTCTTAAGTCAAAGAAACAGAGGACTCTTCCTTAGTTGAAAGTTTTAAAATTTTGTGTGTACAATGAAGTCAAAATTTGTGGGGTGGGTTTCAGCGAGATTTCCTCTTTAAGGTATGTGCCTTACCTACGCCCTAGATGCTACACTTTCAAAAGGCGCATGTCTGGTGCGCCTTGTGCTTCAGTGCCATTTTGAAGTTTGTGCCTTTTTGCTCTTGTATAAGCCTAGTGGTTGGGCCAAGGACTGCTTCGGTTCGTGCGCTTTGCTTGCTCACCGAAGCTCCGAGAGCCCCCTATTTGCTAATGTCGTTTATTCATTTATCTTAATAAAAATAAAATTTTATTCATAAAAAAATAAAAATAAAATTTTGAAGATAATTAAAATTATAAAATCATTTTTTCATAGGGATTACTTATTTAGGCTTGCCTCAAGGGGCTTAGTACAAAGGCAGCTTGTAGAATTAGGAATGAAAGATGTTTAACATCACATTAACTATTTGAAATAATACAATTGGGAACGAAATAAAGAAATTAAAAGTTTGACATGCTTGAATATATTTTGTTTGCTATTTTTTATTTTATTTTTGCATTTTTCACTTTGAATATGTTTTATATGTTATGTTTATGTATTTTAATTTGAGTTAATAGGCTTTTTAAAACATTTAGTTTAAAATTAAAGTTTGATTTTTTAATATACTATTTTTAATATTTTCATAATTTATTTTGAATTTTTTATACTTTTTTTGCATTTTTTATTCTTTTAAAATTTTGCATCTTGCTTCAAAAAGGTGTGTGCCTCGCCTTGTGCCTTTCTCCTTACTCTTGCACTTCTTTTGTGCCTTGCACTTTTAAAACACTGTCTTAGGTTTGATTCTTGAAGGAACACAATCTGTAGTGGCTGCACATCCATCCCTAGTTCCATGTAGGCTCTTCTATCACTTTATTTTCATAGTTTTAAAGGTGCCAAGGCGAGTCTACGCAACCATGGGGCACCTGGGCACCTAAGCCTCATCTAGATGATGGAATCTAAACGTACAAAACCTACAAATTTCTACCCCTGCTAAACTAGTTTTTTGGTTTTGTATATTAATCAGTACACCTCTACACTACCTTTTGTGCTTGTGGTTTTTCCAGTTCTGCTTCAAGTATGAAAAACAAAATATTAGAGTGAGAAGATAGAATTTAGAAGAACTGAAGGGGGTGTAGCCTGGAAAAAAAAAAAGAAAACAAGAACTGAAGTAGAAGATAGGGGGTGGAGTCCCAGTTTTAGACCAAAAAGAAAGAACAAAATAAAGACGGGGCAGAGCCCCTGTTTAAGACCACCAATGATGAAAAAAAGCTGAAAAAAATATGCAAGAGAGTTAATAACAAAAAGAAGGGGGTGGAGCCACTGTTTCAGTCCAATAAAACGATTCAGAAAGATTGGGGAAAAGATAGAAAAAAGAGGAGGAAAAAATAGGGCATAATCCCTGTTTTAAACTAGCAAAACAAAAGGAAATAAAGCATACAATAAAGAGGAAAGAAGAAAAAGAAAGGAAGAAGCTGAGCGGTGTTGTGTTGGTCACTATGGGAGGAAAGAAACTCTCGAATATTTTCAGAAAAGGAAAGATCCCTGGAAGAACTATTAGACCTAATACTTTTAAGGGCTGCCCACTGGCTAAAAACTATGGAACTGTTCTCAGACTTTCCTATTGCTGACCCGTTAAGAAACTGGAAAGAGATAGCAACCTCTACTCTGTGTAAGAGGACTCTTAGTCCCTTGTGGTCCCCTCCTCCCTCCAGATTTATAAAAGTGAATTTTGATGGCTGTAGCATAAGGAATCCAGGGCCCTCTGGGATTGGGGGAGTTTTTAGGAATGAGGAAGGGATTGTTATTGCTCTGTTCTCAGGCCCTATTGGAGAAGGAGACTCTATTAGGGCTGAGATCCTTGCATCTTTGGAAGGGGTTCAAAGAGCAAGGGAACTAAATATCAGTCGGCTGATTTTGGAAGGTGATTCAAAGGTGGTGATTAGCTGGTTGAAGAAAGAGGGCAGAGGCTTGTGGGGTTACAATAATGAAAAGAAAAAATTCTTATGGCTATGTAGAGGCATTGAGATACAATACAGCTGGGTGAAAAGGACTGCTAATTCTTTTGCAGATGGGTTGGCCAAGCAAAGGGTGAATAGGGAGGCTACTTTTTGGGCTATTTTTTAATCTTCTTTCATTGTAATTTTCTGATGGGGAGATAAGACTCTTTATCTCCCCCTTTTTTGTACCTAAAACTTCATAATTCTTAATAAAGTTTCTGTTATTGATMAAAAAAAAAAAAAAAAAAGAAGCTGAGCGGTGTGGCTTTGGTTAGTAAATGAAAGTTGGGCAAGAACAGACTGGTTCTTATCTAGGGTTTGGAGCTTTTGAGATCTGAGTCAGTAGAAAGGTTGTCATGGAAGGTGGCTGTATGAAGGTATATGTGTTCCCAAGAGTGGGCTTTGGTGCTCTATTTATAGGAATAGGGTTCCATGCAATCTGTGCATGTCCTAGGACAGAATTCTGGAATGTTCTCTTGTAGAATGTATTTTTAGTTAGTTATGCCTTATGCAAGCTTAGCCATAAGTAGTTTTCACCAAGTGGTTTCAAGTGAAAACGTGAGAGTATCTGGTACTAACCAGCACAGCTTTCCCAATCACATCATGTGTCACCGTCTTATGTTTTGCTAGAATTGTTATGCTATAATGTGTTTAGGGATGGAGCTTGTTTTGGATTCGTAGATGGCGTCTTGCGAATCTCAGGACCTCTATCTAGATGCCAATTTTGCATGTCTGGAGTTGGGATTTGTAAGGTACTTGGGAATAGGGCCTCTCCCACTTATCTTTAATCCTACCATGTGGCTCAATAATCTCTATTAGGGATTCACTAATAAGAAACTTTGATTTCCTCTTGGTTTTTGGCCATGCAATCTCCTCTTTAGAGCTTGAATTTGAAATTGGCCCCTAACTTTCTTTTGCAGTCCAGTTGTGTTGTCAAAAAAATGCTTAATTCGGATTAATCTGTCATGATTATCTCCATGATTGGATGATTCACCTCTTCTCTCTAGCATCACCCTGTCATCTCTATTTTCTTGCCAAGCTACTGCCTTGATTGATTCCTAGCTGCCCCCAGTGAGCACCCAACCACTCTCCTTTCCTAATTGAGATGTCTGGCTTTTGGTGGGATCTTTGAATAAATATATGAAACTCACCTTCCTCGAAACTTCTGAGAGAAGCTCCATCTTGGAGATTATGTGCTTGGCAAAGCTCTGTTGTCAGTGGCCCAATCAAGGGCAGCAACTTTAGCCAAATGTGAATATTGTGTACCACCACACTTTGATACCCATCATAGCCAAATAGTATCCCTCCATATTCTAACCATTCATATACTTGGATAGCTTTGCCTCAAGAGTCATCTTTTTTAAATGAATTCTTCAGACAAGTTTCCTATGGCTTTGATAATCTTTGGGCTCTACAACATCAGGTTGTACACTTGGGTCCAGACTGATCTAGTTTCCCTTCTATTCTTGGTCAGTTCATTTGAATAGCATCCGGTTTTCAATGGTACCAACAGTCCGGACTGAGAATCTGGGACGTCCTCTTAGAGGATGCAGTGAACAGGAATAACCTGTTACCAAGCTTCTTCACCCTCAGACCACCATATAGATTCTAGTCAGCTTGGTCTCATTCTGCAACACTCCCTCCCTCGGGGATCTTGCCTTTAAATCTAACTAGGCATTCCCTTAGGAGACTCTTCCTATCCTCTACACCCTTCAACTTCATTTTGAAAAGAAAATATTGTCCTTGTGATAAAGCTGGCACTTACAACGGCCCATATTCTGGCATTCACTGCATCTCTATGCAATATACTCTTACTCTCTCATGGGATGCAGATTTCAAAAAATTATGTATTTGTATCTATATGCTAGGGGCCATTACTTAGTGTAATGGTAAAATCTCAGTCTGGCAATCTTGAGAAATTGGGGTTCAAGTTTGAGAATGGCCACTTTGTAGGAGGGCTGTAATATATTTTCCATTATTTCTTCTAGCTTGTTGGACCTTGCATCTTTTCAGTCACTTATCCATTCATTGTGTTTGTGTACCTTGTACTCCACAGGGAGCTCAAGGAAGAGAAATATGCTGCTCGCAGGGCAATATTGCCCATTCTTCAAGCTGAAGAGGATGAAAGGTAAACCCTTGTTATGTTTCCTCCTGGTCTTTACTTTTATTTTCAGAGCGGTGGAAAGGCATCTGATTTCTGTTTAATTTAGATTTGTTAAAGAGTGGAAGAAATATCTGGAAGAGGAGGCTCGAATCATGAAAGACGTGCCTGGCTGGAAAGTTGGTGAAAGTGTCTACCATTCTGGGAGATGGATGCCCCCGGCAACTGGGGAGCTGCGACCTGATGTCTGGTAAAAAAAAGGTAGTACTATGTTATTCAGCTCATGGTGTACAGTTTTTTTGGGGTGTTTCTGATATAAGATCATTTTTACCTCCTTGTGGAAAGGAAATTGGACTTGTATTTAGGGAAAGAAAGTTCTATTTGAACAAAACTCCAGAACTACTGCAAACAAGGCATCTACAATTGGCTACATATCACGTAACCCAATCACGAGTTAACACATCAGCAATCCATACGGTTACCAGATGTGCCAGCAACTAATGTGTTTACAAATGATTGGATTATATAGCCCGTTGTACACATCTTGTTTATAGCAGATCGAGGGCCTTAGAACAATAGTAGTCCTTGAGACTACTGGATGTGAGAAGTACTTTAAATTCTGGGCATCTGTTCTTTAATATCGTTATTTCCTTTTTCTTGGTGTCAGGATCTTAATGTTCAGACTACAAGCGAGTGAAGGCAGGAAGACTTTAAACAATAAATTGTTTTTCAATCTCAACTTCGTTGATATTTTATGTGGAGGTTTATGCATATGTAGGATCGGAACTGCCATCAGTGGCTTGTGTATTCAATAATTTCATTGGTACTTTGGATTAAATTCTTTTCTTATACGTTTTTCAGTTGTTTGAAGGGTAAATTACAGATAGGTACCCTGTACCCTGAACTTTAAATTACAACACTTGTACCTTGAACTCTCATTTTAAGGCATTACATAATGCTTTGTGTATTTTCAAACTGTTTTGCCCTTCTGATGTATAAACCCCAATTTGTAAACCCTTTTTACCTTTTTTTTTTTTCAATCTTAGGCCTCAACTACACCCAAGGCGGATGAATCACTAAAAAAGAGAAGGGTTTCATTCTCAGCTTTGCTTCGGAGAGAGCTATCCTCTTCGATTCTTTCTGCTTTGATTTATATTATTTTTGACCCTTTTGTATTTTCCTTATACCCTCTTTCTCGTATCTGTGATGTGAATGTATAGTTGCATTATGTTCCTGCAATTGCCTCAAAGAAACCATTATCTACACTGAGATTCGAATCAAGTCTGTGTGTCGACTTCGGTTTCTATGATTTTGTTTCTAATCATGTGTTTGGCTTGAAAAAAGCTTTTCCACTTAGGCTGAGCTCATTTACGACGTTACAGTTGCGGAAAGATTTCTGTTAGAAAATTTTAAGCCAATTTGACGGTCAAACAAACGGAACCCCAAGGTTGAATCTAAACCCTTAATCCAAAATCGACCGCCCTTTCATTGGGTAGGGACACAGAATCGGAGAGAACATAAAACCCTAGGTTTTGAGTTTTGACTACAATCTTCATCTTGTTGTTTCTTGAATATATAGTATACCAAATATTGCAAATGAGATTCTGTATAAGAATTTCTAGAAAACAAAGTAAAAATTATCCAATTTATGTTTGCTTTCTTCTCAAGTGACAACAATAGTTGATTTTTTCTCTCCCCATGATGGCGTTCTCACATGGACAGCAAATAACAGATTCAAAATTTCAACACCATTTAAAAGGGACTATGTTGGCGCAATCTTTGGTGATGATTTTACTTTGTCGGAAATTTCCTGCCCTCACTGGCGAAGTGCTTTTCATGGAACTCTTCTACTTTTATTGTAGGGATTAGAATGAGCAACAGTGATGTCCAGATTGAAGACTACCCAACTTAATCGAGGTTGTTTGGTCATTTTTAATTTTTTTGATTTTAACAATTTAAAAATATATGGGCATTTTGATAACTTTACCATATACTGTAACATGAATAAATGGAAGTGAAGCCAAGTGTCTATTTTTGAGAGTTTGGGTATTCAAGTGTAGCAATTGAAAGTTCAGGGTACCTATCTATCACTACCCCTAAAGTATGGGGTACCTATATAATTTACCCTAGTTTTAATTATTGATATGCATTAGTTGATAAATATCATATTTTTCTTTCCGCTGCAAGCTTGGTAGAAATGCCGATGTACAAAGTATCGTTGCACATCGGCCAATATAAATGGATACACAATGATATGCTTCTGGTATTTTTCTCTCCCAAATACAAGGTCCACTATAGGCCCAAGAACCTAACAAAATGACCTTTGCTTTACATTAATCTATCTAGGAATTCTTTGAAAATGCCTCAGAACTTATGACTGGAGAAAATAAAATTGATAGAAATAAAAAGAAGTCTCATAAGCATGCAAATTAATCTTGTAGAGATTACCGCACAACACACCAAATTAATCTTGATCTTTGCTTTACACTAATCTATTAGGATGCAAATTAATTTTCTAACGGTTACCACACAACACACTACATCCAACTTTAATGAAATCATGGAATAGAGCAAAACTTTTGCTCTTAGACTTAAATTCATAACTAGAAGAATGGAGTTTAGGAATTGAAATGAAATTCCTTTTAAATGTAGGTACATATAGAGTATCTATTAGATATAGATGAAAGGCCATTTCCAAAATGATACAATATGTCCCTACGACTTCAACATCTACTTCTATTTTGTTATTAAGTGCTATGGTGCATTCTCCCTTATGTAGGTGTTTGCTTATTAGAAAACCCTGCAAAGAAACCTCGATATGAGTTGTGGCACCTGTATTCATCCACCATTTATCAAGTGATGTGTTAACCAAATATGATTCAAAAATCATAAAGGCAAAATCCTTACCTTTCTTGTTGAGTTTTATTTGGGGCATTCCTTTTTAACGTGTCCCTTATTTTTGTAGAAAAAAGTAGTTTGCCTTGTGATCCCAACCATTTGCAGGTATGGCCTTTTCCTTCCTTCTTCTAACTTTCCTTTTGAAGTGTCTTTTATGTGGTCCAGTGGTGAGGTGAGCACCTTTAGGCATTTCACTTTCAAGCCTTTCCTCTTCTTGAACACACATAACAATCACACTCATCTTCCATTTCTCTTTTTGTGTGGAAAAAGGAAATTCTTAAGAAATTTCTACATCCATTTCTCTCAGATGATTTGCCATGTCACTCATTTTGGTGATGTGTTCACGTATTCCACCACGACCATCATACTTCATAGTTATCATTTTAATTATAAGGGTACTTTACCAGTGTTTTGATAGATTTGGTAAAATGTTCCTCTATCATTCCTAGCAATGGTAGAAGATGATACCCAGATGGACAAAAATGAAGTAGGCTCCCCATCAAGTTCTTTTATTTAGTGATGGAACTTCCACTTGTAGCAGCTTGTTCAATTTAAATGGCAGAATTTATAGGAACAAAGGACTCAACCAATGGTTGGGATGATCCAAATGATGAGAGTGAAGGGGTGAGAGATCCATCATATGGATGGCCGAACCCTGTAGGAAGGTAGGGCGAAATTTCAAAAATTTCTCTCTCTCCCATGTGGGAATCACATTCCCTATTTTAGAAAACTGCATTTTCAAAGATCAATCTTGAACCTAAACCGGACCAGATCTGAAACCAAAAGGGAGTGGAGGGTTATACCTGATACGAAGTAATAATAACGTCTAATGAAGGTGTTCACGCCCAAGGATGAATCCAAAGACTGCTTCCACCGAAGATGACACAGTGCAAGATGAAGCAGAATCAGTAGGATGACTCTTCAGCAAGAACCTGATTCTTCAACACGAATCTGATGGAGGGCAAGTGAGCATGACTTCAGATCACCTTTTCTACCAAAAGATGATATCAAGAACGCTTTCATGATCGCTCCCAGAGTGGAGATCGAACTGGTTATGGCGGCAATAGTAGGAGAGAGCAAGAGCAGAAGATAGAGGCAGTCCAACTGTATGCTATATTCTCTCTTGAATTAGTAGACTGAAGAATGATCTGGAGGTTCGCCCTGCTCCTCTATTTATAGCCTTAAAGAGAGGTTCTCCTAATCCCATTAGGAGTTTC